AGCAGTAATGAGCTCGTGTGACGTATATGTGACGTCATTACTGTCCGATAGGAGATTTGCGTCCGAGTGTATCTAAATTTTGAATAATCATTAGACGATAACTGACATGGCTATTTTAATCTGAAATCCAATTATTATTCTAAATAAACTAACTTGAAGAATAGTTAAAACATTTAATGATTCATCGGGGATGTAAAGCGGCCGTAAAAATTTACCGACACCGAGTATTTGTGTCGAGTCCTTAACGCCATGTTGTTGTTGTTCCTCGACATGAAGCGGGAAGAAGCCGAATTTTGGCCGAATAATGGATCCTTCCCACGGCTCTAGTGAGGTTTGGCCGTTGTACTTGCTGTGGAAAAAATCCTCGTATTTCCAAGATAGCGAAATGAACGAGACATTAGGTGAAAGCGCGAGGGAAAGAGGGAAGATGGCGTTTAAAATATCGACATGTCTTTGCTTTGGTGTTTTGAGGCGCAGAAGGTCGGCGGCGCTGGGGGGAGGCGGGAGGCTCGAATCACTCGTCGAGGGTTTTACTCAGAGACACTTCTGTTAAGCTGTTTCTTCTCTTTTTTCCTTGGGCGTTTCATTCGCTCTTTAATAGATTTCCAATGCAGAGTTCGATAAGTCGAAATTGGTGTATTTTGTGTCGTTTCTTTGGCGTTATAGTGGAGTCTTGTCAACTGTTAAGAGATATCGTTTACTTGTTTGAATGGTTCCAGCGTAAATGAATGAAATAGGAAATATGTCTAATATCACATTTTAAGCCCAATCTTCACTGCCGTTCAGAGGTTACCAAGAGATATAACTATGCATATTAAGTTTAGCGATGGTAAATCAGTCGGTATTGGTTTCCATCAGCCATGGCCCCATTGAGCTGTCAGATAGACGGGTAATTTTTAGGCTTTCGATAACAATACAGTGCAAGGCAAACAGGACATGGAATTGATAGATTGATGAATTCTAAGACACATCGTTTATTTCGCATCTCACAAATTGCAAGGAGTTGATATAATGTTAGGCAGTGAATATAGTGCCACGAACTGGCAACATTCAGGAAAAATATACTGCTGTGAAGTGCTTTGATTGGCCAATGGCTGTGTTGTCATATACAATGATGCCACATACAGTTTCTATGCATAGCATTGCTGCTAGACACTATTTTGCAATTTTTAATCACTAACACTAGTCTGTTATTTAACCGGCTACCTAACATTAAGCTAACCTAAATAAAAATTTAATTGTGTTCCAACTCCAAATACTTTATGGCTGCCTCAAGCTCAAGAAAGCCCAAAAATTCTTTGGCAATTTTAAATGATGATGATGTCTCCAGGATTCCAGGATTCAAACTGAACCAGCTACTCCTCCTCCCATATTACAACCAATCACAGCAAGCATCATGTTGCATATGCTCAGATTTGCCAGCCAGTCAGAGCTCACCATGGTAAAATGTGTTTCTCTAATATAGCCGGTTCACAGCTATATATGCATTTCATTAATGTCAAGAATGATATACCCAGTAAAGATGTTAAGCAACCACTGTGACCTCTATACCTGCCAGTACTCAAGCAAAGGGCCTACAAGTCATGCATATTCTGGCAAGACGGGTTCATATCTTGATAAAAAATCACCATATTAGCATGGTATTCAAGCAAAGCCTGAAATCAAGAAACACAATGGAATGTTCATTATGATCAGCAAATTAAAATGTGCATAAGCTACAGTTGGTAGTTTAATAAGTAATTTATCTTCTTCATATGGTACACTGCCATTGATGTATACAGTCCATATATATTGAACAATTAGGTCATTGAATCTACATTGATTGTTAAAATTGGAAGTAATAAGAGGAACACAACATCAAATGAATGCTGTTGGGGTCCCAGAAAAGCGCCAGATTAGAAAGTTGATCTTCACCACACAAAACAGGAGGATTGTATGGCACCAGCCATACAAAGGCCAGCTATGGGATGCTAGCTGAACACAAAAAATTGTCTGTGCTTTTTGTTTAATGTGATAATGGTTAGAAAAATCTGATCCAGAAAGTTTACATTAAAAAAAATTATGGAAATTAGTATATGTACCTGTGCACTGATGTCTTCCAGATATTGATTTTTATACCAGGAACCCTGGATTAAAAATAAAAAATAAATAGATAAAAAAATGGGAAGTGGGAATTAATTTCAGGTTGGTGGTGCGCATCGACAGTTTCCGCTGTTTGCACTTGACTCGTTGGGTAGTTTGCGGACAACGTCAAGCTCCAAAAGGCTTATATATTGATATCATTTAATATAACTTATAAAAGATTGAAGGTGTACCTTCACTTTAGATGCTGTTGCCTAAAAGTTTAACCATAGATATGATGATGATACTCTCAGAGAAAAAACAGCGCCATCTGATGAGCCAACTGCTTGCGAATAGTTGTAATATGATGCTACCCTTTACTTTGTCCACAACAGCCATGGCATATATATATATATATATATATATATATATATATATATATATATATATATATATATATATATATATATATATATATATATATATATATATATGCCACCTGGCAGCATGTGGTTAACCCATCAGTCGCAAATGGCATACGATGCAAAGTGCAATTGACAGTTTATCCCATGGAGCAGGGGGCGGCCGCACAGCCTGGGAGCTAAGCGGGCCATTGGATGTTAGCTGCCAAACCAGTGTCCTCCTTGCAGCCTTCCAGGGCCCAGGCCTGCGTGGGTGATGGGGTGTTACCCACCAAAGGAGTTGAACGCTTTTGGCGTGTACTAAAACCAGGCCTTCCACTCTTTATGAGCAAATTTACGTATGTTTGCATGCTTGCATGTATTTGCAAGGGTTTATATAATACATACACAAACATAATGTGTTCATAAATACATACACACATATATGCACAGAGGAGGGAAAGCAGCACCGCCACAGCACGCACTCTACTGCGCAATTCCATACACCGCCCATGTGTAAAATAAATACTGCTATAGGATTAGTTGCCATATTGCAAAATGCCACTAACAATGGGTTAAGAAAGATATTTGTCATCAACCACACAGTTTACAAACTTTCGAATCTGGGAAAGCCTGATACATCTCCACCTGATGTATTCTACACAAAGTTCATGTCCATTTTTGCAAGAATAAGATTAAATCAGGAAAAGAGGACTATACAGAGATTGATAAAAACTTGGTATTACATACTCATGGAATGTAACAAACAGAAACGGAGAAAACGGTTGTTAGTTGTTCATCAGAAATACAACTGCTTTGCATTTAATATGGCAACAGTAATAGAATACATATTCTTGGAACTTGAAAAACAAATATTTCTTACTGAAATGTTTGACCATCTATAGTTAAAAATAGGTTTTACTAGCAGAATAAACTCTTTTGCTTGAGAGTAAGATTACAAACTGTTGCTTTCTACCCACTATCATTTGTTTGTTTATAAACACTTTTCACTAAAGCATACAATCTCCTGAGGCATTATTACCATAAACCTTTTTATTAAGTAATAAAAAGTAGTTTGCAAACAAATGCAAGGCTAGAGCAACAATTACTTACCATTGTTTCCATCCCTTCAGCACATTAACAAAAGGGTCACAAACCCCCACTATATAAGATATAGCTTGCAGACCTCACTGATGATTTGCCGTCCAATGTAAGAAACTGAATATATGTGGTGGGTATATATTGGCTTTTACAGTGGCGGTAAACTGGGCATTATTATTGTGTAATCCACAGCTTAGTCCCATGTATGAAATGTATGAAGAGAAATTGCATATAGATTGTAGAAAGCAGTGGAAAAAATTTTCCAAGCAATAACCTCTCAGTGAATCAGTCCAGGCTGTCTTGCCAACTTTGCAGGAGCACCAAAGATGTAGAGGCCAAGTTGGCTTTTTGAAGCTTATGTTGTCACAATAAAGGATCCCCTTATCCTGCAGATATAAGTATCTGCAGGATAGCATAAATTTTCATTGTCATTAGTTATTTTCTTGTTTACTCTATATATATACTGCAAGGTTGCAGGTAAATATATATATGACTACCATAAACCACAAGGTGAATTGTACACAGAATTTAAGGATGAATTAATTCTTAGACATTTTTATCTGTGTCATTTTACAAATTGTAAACAGTATTCATAATATAGCTGACAGTGGTAGTCAGATGATTTCCATGACCTCTACATGTATTTTAAGAAAACACAGTTCGGTTTGTTCCTTACTCGGCAGTAGAATAGCAGGGTGGTCTACAGAATACACTAAAGATTTAATTTCACCAGAAACATGATATCTGCATCCCTGTAAGTGGATTTGTTTTAATGGATAATTTTATTTTGATGGCATCAGCTTACACAAATGTTTTGATTACCTAGTTGAAGTGTACAAAGAAACATTTATATATCAAGTATGATGGAAATGTCAGAATTTGTCAATCTATTGTTAATATTGTACCACATGACAATTGTCATGTACTTAATAATGCTATGTACCTTCCCAAGTTATTAAAGCCATTGTCACTGATATAGATAGTTTTCATAAACTAATAATACTATAAGAGCAAATTTAACGTCATAAACAATCCGTCAATACCAAACTTGTTAATATCAGTGATATGGATCTTTTCAGAATGAATACCACTTTTAATTCAGATTTCTTTCATGGTGAATTGGGATTAGCTGCTTCTTGGAGAATTGCATTTGGAGGTATTTCTGATTATTGGATTTTTTCTTTTTCTTTTTCTTTTTCATTTCTTGTACAGAGAAGAGGCAAAAATATTGACCTTGTATTACATCTGATTTAAATGTCTTTTTTCTATTTTATATTTTATTTGTATAACTGCTTGATATTGTGCATTTATTTTATTTTCTGTTTCCATTATGCACATATGGCATTTGGTTTTCAATAAAATCTACAAATGATAGCTGGATTTCATGCTGTTGATTTGAAAACTATTAGGTCTTATTTTTTTGTGTTTGTCAGCATTAGGCTCTTTTGAGGCTCAGACATTATCCTCTTTGTGTGTTGTTGGGTTCAGTTCTATAATATATGAGGAAATGAAAATGAGGAATCATAAGCTAGTAAACTAATGAAGAGATTTTGTAAGTATTTGTATTAGTTTCTTCAAAAGGATGAAAAAATAGATTTGAAGTTGGTTATAGCTGTATTGCAGTGGAGTTGAAACAAGGAAGATAAATAAACTTATTATGTGCAGGATTAATACACAGTATAAAAGTTGAAAAAAAATCAGACTAAGATGTAATTGATTATATGGCACCCTTCTCAAATTTACTGGTCCCCAAAAGAAGAAAAACAAACTAAGATGTATAATTCCTTGTGGAAAATAGTATGTGATATTATTTTGGACAATTCTTCAATTGTATAGGTATTTGAAACTAGCCTTAACTCAATTTCTGTTCTTAGCCAAACCCCCCATCCCATCCACTGAGGACATACCTTTGACCCATTGGATCAGGGTGCCTTGCTGCTTGCACATAACCCAAAATCCAGGCATTATGTTTATTCAAGTGGTGACTTTTCCGGTTGTGTAGCTTGTAGGCCCACCCCACATGAACACTTTTATGTGGTGTCAAGACTCCTTACCTTTTCTTTTCAGTGTTTTTAGTCAATTTTATTTTTTTGTTTAATTCCCCCCCCCCCCCCCATTTTCCAAGGTATATAATTGTCATCCAATATGCTCTGTCAAGTAGGTTGAAAGAGAGTTTTTTTATATATATACTCCCTATCATTACTTTTGGTAGTCTATATCTCTCTTCAGTGAAAATAACAATGAGTAATGTTTTGTTATATAACTTTTTTTTTTTTTATTCTACTTCCATATTATTTAATGTTCTGTAGTAGACCCTGCACTGCAGGTCATGGTAAGCAGGAAATAGTGTCCTCCCTGGAGCTGGTACTCTCCTAGTCATGGCTCAGGGATGGTTCTTGCTGTACATGTTTATCAATGGAAATAATGCAAGATCCCCTTCCTAGAGAACCACAGAGTCTAGTCTTCCTCCATAAGCTTTGTCATTCTCATGATGGCATATTCCTGGTACCCCGGCCCTCAGCCAAACTTTTATATGATGGCATATTCACACCCCTGGTCCTCTGGCCCTCAGCCAATTTTTTTTTATAATGACATATTCACATCTCCTGATCCTCCACCAAATTTTTTTTATTATTTGGTGGTCAAATCACCCAGATCCAAGTGATTAAGGTATTCACCAATTCAATTCAAAGGTTCCTTAGAACAAGTGCTGTAATTGTTGGTAATTAGATATCGATAATATTTCTAATTATAAACCTAAATTTCACAGGTTGAGGGAACCTCTACCCCAGTATCTGGAGATATCAGCTGCAGTGTGGAGACAACAATGTCATCACCTGTGTTGCTCGGTGGACAGGTGGTAATGGAGAACAACGGAATGATGATGGAGGGGTCAGAAGATGTGGTGATGGATGGGACACAAGTGGTGATGGAAGCCCCTCAGGTTGTCAGTTCCCAAGTGATGATTGAAGGGTCACAAGTCATGATGGAGGAGGGAGATGGCACAGAGTTTGGAGCATCTGTTTTGAATCCACCCCACCATGGCACAGTGACAGAAGCTATTGGAGATCCAGTTTCAGTAAAGGAGGAGGACTTGGAAAATGGACAGTATGCTCATAATCAGCCAATACTTAGCCTGGAGCAGCCCAATGTCCATGAGGATGTCATGGGCACAGGGACTCTGGAAGATAACCAAGAAGGAGAAATTCTCCTGAGGAACCTGGTGAATGAGACCTTTCACTCCTCAGCCAGTGCTACTCACCCTCATGACAATATCATTGTAACAACCAGCACAATCACCACTGATCCCATGCACACTATCCAACAGCCCTTACAGCAAGCAAATATGATAACAGGAAGTGATACAACTAGCATGACAGATATTTCAAATAGTATTCCACCAGCAACAACCCCAACGAAAATAGTGATACAAACTAATCAAGGGTCACCAGTGAAATCTAATGCTGGACATTTCCTCATACAAGTGGGTGGCAACCCAGTTGCTGTGAGCCAGCCCCAGGTTGTCACTGTGGGAAACAAAAAGCACATCATCATCCGTGCAGGTGCCAATCAGATGGCACAGCAGGTGATTCCCAGCCAGGAAGAGGTTGAGGCAGCGGCCCAAAGTGGTGTCTTCCGTGTGATAATACCTGAAGGAACAACTAAGTATACAAAAGGCCTGACTGTACCTGTTGGCCAGAATGAACCAGTGAGAAAACATGTACAAATTAATCTTTCAGATGGAACTTTGAAAAAACAGTCAAGGTATATGACTCACACTTCACAAACGCAAGGAAATTATGAGGAAGACTTTGCATCGGGGAGTGATGCCAAGAGGTTTTATGAATGTCCAACATGCAATAGTAAATTCATGCGGCCTCTCTACTTGAGGTAAGTACACTTTTTTTCTTTTTTTTCTTCTTCTTCTTTCTTTCTTTCTTTCTTTCTTTCTTTTTTCTTTTTCTTTTCTTTTTTTCCTTTTTGTTTTCTTTTACATTTTCTTTTTTCCTTTTCTCCCATTCTGTGATCTTTTTATTCTTTTAATATCTTGTGGGGAAAAAATACTTTCTAATTTTTACATCATAGGAATATGAACTTGTTAATTAACTATGAAAGGATTTTTTTTTTAATTACAATTTGTAAGTTTTATTTTTGTAAAATCTAATTGTTAATATATCATTTATTTGAAAACCTGGAGGGCACATTTATTGATGTACCATACATTTACCAAACTGTTTGCTGAATTCTTAGTGAAGTTAAAAAAAAATATACATATATATATATATATATATATATATATATATATATATATATATATATATATATATTATTTATTTATTTATTTATTTATTTATTTATACACAAACATACAAATATTGGAGCATCCCATCACCAAAAATTATTCATGAAGTTGAAATTAGTAATAATTTAGAGATGAATATAAAATACATGTGTAATTATAAGATTTTAGAAAGAGTGACATTCATATTACACCTTAAATTGCCAAGGATTAGCTAGCTTCACTAAACTGTTAGTTCCCAGGTGTATGGCTTGTAGGCCCACCCCAACCAACACTAGTGGTATGGGGTGGTATAAAGACTCTTTGCTTCCCCCATGCAATGTTATCATCTCATTTTCTGCAGGAGCCTTTTTTGCTTGTTTGCCATTTTCCATAATCTGTAATCGTCATTTGATATGCTCTATCAACAGGTTATTAGACTTTACATAGACTCCATATCATATTAAGTAGTCTACAGCTCTGTGACAATAAGTAACACTTCATTGTTTATGTAATTTTTAAATTATTTTTGTATTACTAATTTCTTTAACACTGTACCATCGGTCTGGGTGCGCAGGTTCCTGAACATAGAAATGATGTTTCCCATAAGCCAGCACTCTTTCAACCATGGCTCACAGATGGTACTTTCTTACCCTATTTACTTGTGGAAATAATGCAAGAACCTCCTTCTAAATGCTCAATGGTTCTAATCTTCTTCCAAGAGTTTTGTACTCTCAAGATGAATCATTCTCATCAGCCCAGCCCTCAGCCAAAATTTTCTGTGATGGCATGTTCCTTTCACCCAGCCCTCAACCAATGTTTTTCAAGACATAATGGTCATATCACCTGGATTCAATAGGTTAATTAACCCTTTCTATACTGAAATCCAAGTACTTCTAATATTTATGGGGACAATTTGTGTGTGTGTGTGTGTGTGTGTGTTTTACAAAAATTGGCTGATTTACTGATTGTGAGTTTAATGAATTCCCAAGGAGTTTCTGGGCCTCTGAATCTCTTCTAAAATTTTTGAGGCCTCCTGCAATTTTTAAGGTGGTAGCAGCCACTTTGATATCACTTTTTTTTTTCTTCTTCTTTCTTTCTTTCTTTCTTTCTTTTTTTTTTTTTTTTTTTTTTTTCTTTTTCTTTTTCTATTTTCTTTTTTCTTTTTTCTTTTTTACCTTATCTTAGGAAATTGGCAATCGTGACGTTACAATTAGATGTAATGAAAAAAATATATTATTTTCCGGAAGCTTATAAAATTTCACATAATATGAGACCAACCTCAATTACGTTGTAGCTGAGTAATAGATCCATTGCATGTTCCATAGTTTTTGCATTTTTCCCTGTGATTCATGTGAAGTGATATATATATATATATATATATATATATATATATATATATATATATATATATATATATATATATATATATATATATATATATATATACATATATATATATATATATTATACATATATATATATAATATATATCATATATATATATATATATATATATATATATATATATATATAATATATATATATATATATATATATATATATATATATATATATATATATATATATATATATATATATATATATATATATATATATATATATATATATATATATATTTATATAATATATATATTTATATATATAATATATATATATAATATATATATATATATATATATATATATATATATATATATATATATATATATATATATATATATATATATATATAATATATATAATATATATAATATATATATATATATATATATATATATATATATATATATATATATATATATATATTATATATATATATATATATATATATATATATATATATATATATATTATATATATATATATATATATATATATATATATATATATATATATATATATATATATATATATATATATATATATATATATATATATATATATATATATATATATATATATATATATAATATATATAATATATATATATATATATATATATAATATATAATATATATATATATTATAATTATATAATATATATATATATATATATATATATATATATATATATATATATATATATATATATAGTATATATATATATATATATCATAGCACATCATAATTGAAAAATGTACTTCAATCATGCACTAGATAAAAGGTCATTCTGTTCGAAAATTAAATCAAAATGCGTTTGTAATGTTGGGGCGATTTTAGAGATATTTTTCAAAATGGTCAATGAACGTTGATAAACACCTCAAATCAGTGACCCTACGATGGTGAGATTCTGTTATGTTAGTAGAATTTCCGCAATAGGAATGCAGGTCAATGATAGAGGATTATGTTATAGGAAGATTATTTCTATAACTTTTTTTTTTTTTTTTCTTCTTCTCTTTTTTTCTTTTTCTTTTTTTTCATACCAAAATAATCTTAAAAATATACAAAAATCCAATTGTCAATATTTTGAAACTCTGCCTTTGTTGGCTTCGAAAACTAAAGCACAATCAAGTTTAGTCTGAAATAAAGGTGTTATGGCTCATTTTGTAGCTGACTAATAAGTTTAGTGTTTGTTCCATTTTGTTTTTCCAATTTTTTCCCCTGTGCTCCTTGTAAAAGTGACATTAAATATCACCCCCCCCCCCTCCTAAACTCAGATATTTCAAATCAAAAAGTGCTTCAAACATTCACTAGATTAAAGATGAATCAGCAAAAATATTACATCAGAATGGCTTTGTGATTTTTTTCTTGATTTTATATGCTTTTTGAAAGATTGTCAATGTTGAGATTGATGGTTTAGCTTTTTTTTTTTTTTTTTTTTTTTTTTTTTTTTTCTTTTTTTTTCTTTTTCTTTTCTTTTCTTTTTTTTTTTTTTTTCTTTTTTTTTTTTTTTTTTTTTTGACTATCACTCAAAAACTTTTTGGGCGATTTTGATTAAAATCAACCTTAGGGATCTCACTAAGGTTTAAATAATAGGGTGTACATTTCATCAAAATTGGCAAAAGAAATAGAAAAAAAAGTAATTAAAATTTAAATATAAAAAGAACAGATGGTCACCTTAAGTCATTGAGAAAATGAGAGATCAGTGGAAGTTGATACTTTCAAAGACGTCATTTGTTTCTCTTTGAGTTATGAGCCTAGTAAGGGTCTCTCAGCACGTGTTAAGTATTCCACGTTGGACTTTCTTAGTTGAATACTTGACCTTGAAATAGATGGGAGAAATGTATTTTAAATTCTCCTTGAATGAACACCATTTTCTAGCTAGAGCAAAATATCAAATTGGTGATGAATATAAGATGATAGCCACATTTCAATGATTTGGAGGCAAGAATTCAAAGATTTCTTAAGTTGATTTCACATTGATGATGATTTCTTTGATCTGTGAGCCAAGAAATTATGATGTAAATATATAGTCAGATTAAAAAAGTATATCATTACCCTTTGCTCAAATTAATATAAAAAATCAACAGAGGGGTGTGGAATAGCAAGGTAAGCCATTTGGCACTATAGTCCTACGAATGTAGGTCATGCAATACAGTAACATCATTATGCATGTGCTGGAGTCATTAAAGATTAGGAAAATTTCATTTGATAATCTTAATGCAAAATAAAAAGAAAGTGAATAATATTGAGTACACAATCCAAAAAAAATGTAAGAGCACTGCAATTAAGAACCAAGAGATAGCACTGACAGAGGATACATTTTCATCAAAGTTTATATTTGCTGCAGTGTTTTAGAGCTAAGCAGATATATGTTGAAGATCAAGAGAACATTGTTCTGTAAATCTCTACACATATTTATGCCCTGCATTGGATATGAGGAAAGATAGGGTTGTATCAAAGGTTGGATTCTTTCTTAGTCTCCATTTACAATGAATTCATGCTTATCTTTCCTTGGAATTAAGAGGCATGTCAAATTCAGATTTCAGTCACATTGTTTATGTATAGGAAACTTTTCTCCTTTTTTTTTCTTCTTCTTCTTCTTCTTCTTCTTCTTCTTCTTCTTCTTCTTCTTCTTCTTCTTCTTCTTCTTCTTCTTCTTCTTCTTCTTTCTTTCTTCTTCTTCTTCTTCTTCTTCTTCTTCTTCTTCTTCTTCTTCTTCTTCTTCTTCTTCTTCTTCTTCTTCTTCTTCTTCTTCTTCTTTCTTCTTCTTCTTCTTCTTCTTCTTCTTCTTCTTCTTCTTCTTCTTCTTCTTCTTCTTTCTTTTCTTTTTTCACAATGCCTATCCCAAAATAATGTCTTTATATGGGAAAGTAAAATCTAGGGTTCCCGTTTTCATCATTTTCTGTTTTACAAATGTAGCTGTATGACAAAAGAGCAGGAGTGTCTTCAGTTGTTATTTTCCATGTTTATTTCCGTTCAACACTCATGGACACATAATGAAGTTCAACCGTTAGCATGAATTTCTTTGTAATGATATATATTAGTTCTTTAATATATGAGTGTGTTGATTAAAAGGAAAGCAATACAAGTGTTTTATGTCAATAATTATTATTATCTCCCCCTGCCCAAACATCATGGTGCAATCTCACCATTACTTACTTTGTTGTTATTAAGAGCGACAATAGCTCCTCACAAACTGTGAGAGATCTCCATGGTGCATAAAGTGCATAGACTATTCCCAGTCCATATTA